TTTGTTCCCCCCGTTTTAAAAAATGGTGGCCCTTTTTTCACCCTGTGGAGGGGGGGCCCAAAATAAGTATATAAAAAAAACCTATGTAGCATTTGGGTCCTCCCTTTTGCCCAACGTCCCCCTCGACCGGGGGCCCCCTGTGCACTCGCGTTCCGTTTGCCAGGCAGCAGGGGAGGGGTGGGGGGGTGGGAGAGTGGGCTCCCCCAGGGGGGCTGCCTCAGTCGCAGTCGATGGGAGTACTTTCTTCACCAGCGCGGGGGAAACTACTAACCAGCCGCAGCAGCATCAGGGGGGACCTGGAGAGGACCCAAACAACAGGCTGGGGCCCCTCTTGGACGCACCCTCCCAAACGAGGTAGACAACCCCCTTGCTACGGGGCAACGAAACTTGATTTTTGGGCCCCAACTTGCTGAATTTCCCCTTTGAAAGGCTGTCATGCCCCCAGTAGCAGGGCATGGAGCGCGTGTTTAGTGCGGCAGGAGGTATTGTAACTCCGCAGGACAGACTGTCCCCCAAAGTGTGGAAGACTCACGTTTGTGAAAATGAATCAGGCGTGATTAGTCTGGATTTAAACCACCAGTTCCTGACCAATGACTAAATCCCCCCAAAAATCATCCCCCAAAATTTATTTTTTTTAAAACATGGGCCCTGTTAGGGCCTTCAATTTAAACTGCTTTCGCTTGCCATCGTCATGGGGCCCCCGTACCGCCTCCTCTTTCTGCTGCCAGGTCCAGAGTGTGTCATGGGTCCCTGTACGGCCTCCCATTTTCTGCTGACTTCATCGCCAGACTCTGCCATTGCACTTCAGGTCTCCTTACACTTTGGGGGTTTTATTTTGTGTGGGTCTGATGGCCTTCCATTGTCTGCTCCACCCCCACCCTGCCCATGTGCCTCTGTCGTCTGCCCCGTGCTGCGGGTTCCCCTTTTTAAAACCCAGGCCTGGTTTTTCTTTCCCAAAAAATGCTGCATCCACGCCACTCTGCGCCATGGGGTCTCTGTCGTCTGCTCCCTGTGACGGCTTCCGCTTTTTAACCTAGGCCCGTGTATGGCTTCCGAAAAAGCTGCCTCCCCGCCACCCCCCGCCATGTGCCTCTGTCGTCTGCTCACGCTGCTGACGGCTTCCCCCTTTTTAACCCAGGCCCGGTTTGGCTTCCGAAAACGCTCACCCCGCCCGCCCACTGCTGCTCCAGGCCAGTAATCTGTAGGGGGCCCCCCTACCGCTCCTCATGTCTGCCAGGCCCGGTTGGGCAGGGTCCCTGTGGCCTCCCATTTCTGCTGTCTCCATCGCCACACTCTGCCAGGCCACTTTCAGGGTTTCCCCCAGCGGTGGGGTTTCCATTTTGTCATAGGGTGCTGTATGGCCTCCATTGCGGCGGCCTCCACCGCCACACTGTTGCTCCACACTCTGGATTTTGCCCCTGACTGCCCAAATGAGTGAAGTGTGCGGTGATTTCCTAAGATCGACCGGGCACTCATATCTGCATGTTCATAACTGACTGACAGTATTAATTTTAATCTTCCCCCAGCTGACTCCAAGGGCATTTTAAATTAAAGGTACAGTGTTTCTGCACATAATATAAAGGCTCTCTGAAGCCTAGAAACACCCTTTAGTCACTGCTGACATTAAAGTGATTGTAAAGCCATAATTTTGTATAACAAACATGTTTAACTTACCTGCTCTGTGCAATGGTTTTTACGCAGAGCAGCCCTGATCCTCCTATTCTTGGGTCCCCCACAGGTGCTCCTGTCTCCTCCCCCCCATCTAGTGCTCCCTCTTGCTGTGGGGACACTTGTGCAGGCGCGCTCCTGAGCTGTGCTCTGTGTGTCCATTGACACACAGAGTGTGGTTTGGCCCCACCTTTGGCATCCTCCTCATTGGCTGTGATTGACAGCTGTCTCTGAGCCTATAAGGAGAGAGAGAGAGAGAGAGAGAGAGAGAAAGAGAGAGAGGAGAGAGCCACTGCTCTTGGATACAGTGTGGGATCAAGATTGGGCTCATGTAAGTACAGGGGTCTGTGGGGGAAGCTGCATGCAGAAAGTTTTTTCACCTTAATGCAGAGAATGCATTAGGGTAAAAAACCTTCAGCCTTTAGAACCACTTTAAACATAGTCTAATTGATGAATTTATCATTGTCAAGTGGCAAACCCTTCACAGTCCAGATAATTCTTTATATACAGTATATTTTCACATAAACATAAATGTGTATGCTCAGAAATACAGTAACTACAATTCAATAATGGTGTCATTATTCAGGTACAGGAAACTATTTGGTTTGAAGATTTTCTGGAAATGTTGAATGGTTTCACCACATTAATATAGGCAGGGGTAACTAACAGAAGACTGAAGAAAGCTGATTGACAAATGTAATATTATCACACGAGTCTCACATTATTATTTACACACACACACCAAAAAAAAGTTTTACTTGTACACATTTTCTATTTGCATGTATTAATATATTTTCAGTAAATGATTTTTGCAAAGGGGCAAATCTGGTCAATTTGAAGTTCCAGTTGAAACCTAATGCTTAGAAAAAAAATTGTAGATTGAATAACTACGTAGGTGGACTGTGACTTGAGACTCAGCCATGCTACATGTTTTCAATGGAAAGTGACAGCATTCCTATGAATGCCTCTCATCTGTAGGGCTGTATTTACCAGTCCTATACTTTGTCCCTCGCTTCCTGACATTTGACATTTTTGCTGTGATTAATTCCTTTCGCTGCCAAGTCTTCCTGCCAAACTGACACATTGATAATCCCCTGCCTACACAACTAATGTGCAAAAATTGTGTTCTTTCCACTACCAGCAATCATCACATTTCTAAATTACCATCTGCATTGGTTCCCTTTTTTGTTTTTTTTGTTTTTAGCTGCTATTTGCATCAGCACAGTTAACCCTCACGGATGCCAAATGTTTCAAAGAGTAACACCTGCATTAAAACAAATGAAAAAATGCTAGGGATGAAGTCATATTGACAAACAGCAACTGTTCAGATGTGCCCAGATGTCACAGAATTGCCTATCTTGGTAAATTCAAAATAAATTGCTGTCATTGTATATAACATATAAATACATTTGATTCACTTGAATGTTTAAATGTTATGCCATCTATTTATACTGACAGACCAGATCAATCTGCTACAGCAATAGTGCCTTAGAAATTTAAAATGTTAAGTGTTAAAAATAACATACAATATATCTGTTAAACATTCTTGTAATGTAGGAATGTTCATCAAATGACTCCTTTATTAGATAAGGGATGCCAAAAAGCTGTGTCAATGATCATTAGTGTGCACCCCTTTCTTTCTATTTGAGTGTGAGCAGAAGTGGACTCCCGTACACGAGGAGAAAACGGGCAACCTTGGAGCGAGAGGACATACTTGCATCATTTAGCTGGATCTGCATAATTTAGAGACACAGTTCTAGCAAACAGCTGATGAACCTAAAGAGACTTTATTAGGATGCATGCATTGTAATGGCAGTGTTTCTTTAAGATATATGTAATGTATTTGTGATTAACTTTCCCATTGTATAGAATCTTTACTCTCTTGCAGAGTTAGAGGCACAGTTGGAATCTTCAAGGATCCAGATGGAAAATTTTAGGCTCAACAGTGGCTGCATCCAATCATAAGTAGGAGCCATTTGGGTATTCTAACAACCAATGCAGGCAATAGGCACAGTAGGAGATTCATCCACCCATGCTGTTTATTATGGGTGCAGAAATCTGTTTTATTTTTTGGTTCAGCCCTGAACCATGGTTCCGCTGAACAATAAAAATCTAAGGCCTCATACACATGGAAGCTTATCAACGCCTGTGTGCTGAGGTGTGAAATCCAGCTGGATCTGTGTTGTTTAGCTACACAATTCTTGCCAACAGCTTAACCAGATGAAATTCAATACATGGGTGGCCCTGTTGGTTCTTCCCACCTGACATTCCACAACTGAAAAAGCAACATTTTTGGTTTAACCATGGCTGCATCCAATCAAATGCAGCCACTGTTTAGATATTCTGGGCAATAGACACAGTGGAGGATTTGTATATAGCATGAATGGGGGAATCTGTTAGATTTTTTTGGTTTAGGCTACAGTTTGAACGAAAGAGATCTAAGGCCTCATGCACATAGATGTTTACCATCTCCTGTATGCTGAGGTGTCAAATCTCCAGCCATTTTTGTAGCCCCAGGGGCCTCACATGTCATGTACAGTCATCAAATACAAGCGAATGACTGTATGCAGTCAGATACACACACTGTTCAGGTATTCTGACAGTCATAACAAGCAATAGGTGTGACAGGAGATTCACCCATCCATGCTGTATATAATAGGGTAAACATCGATGGTTTCCGCATCAGTATTTATCCATGCATGCACATATAGTGCTTCCGCAGACATCATTTGGGGGGAAGCACTATACTAGCATGTGTGGGGTAAATGCCAATGCAGAAGCCATTGGCATTTACTCAAGCATGACCGAATACAACCATTCCCTTGTATTGGTGGCTGTACATCTCAGTACACAGGAGCTGGTAAGCATCTGTGTGTAAAAGGCCTAACAGTGCCTGGCCAGCTTCACTTAATCTCCTAACAATTCCACTATACTCCTCCTAAGGAAAATGAGGATCTTTATTATTATTATTATGTTTTTTTCAATATCACACAATGGCACGATGGTTAGGAATGATGCTTTGTCCCAGAGTCCCTGAGTCCTGGATTAGAATTTGACCTGATAGTCATATACAAGGAGCTTTATATATTTGTCCAAGCTTATGATTTCTTCTTGGTTGTTAAGCTTTTCTCACGTTTCCCCTGACAGGCTAATTTTTTACTAAATTTACTTCACTGCATGCATGAGTATGTGTGTACAAAGGATTATGCATAAACTACTGCAAACAGTATCAAAGAACAACACAGTTTAGACTGTGCTGGAAATGAGCAGTACAAACTATGTCAGAACAGATCCATCAGATCATTTCTGAAAATTTCATTACAAAACTTTCATTGGAAAATTCTAGGTCTGAACTGAATTTACACAGCACTCCTGACCTAAATCAAGATGTCATGCAGGAAAAAAGCTACAACCAAATTAACACTGATGTTCTTCTTTTTCTGACAATAGTAAAGCAAAATGAAGTTAGATCTGTGCTAAACTCCTGTCACCCATCATCTCCACAACTTTGCATTCTGGGGTTTCTATTAAGCCTCCAGGTTACAGCCTGCACAGCCTATCTGCATTTTTGTATACGCTTCACTTAAATTTCTTTCTGTCTCCATGTAGCGTCAATTTATTACTTATCTGCCCTCTGGTTATACAATATGCACATGTCACGAGGAGCTCTGCATAACCACATGAAGTAGTTGGATGATACCACAAGCCATATGGATTAATATTTCAATGTATGCACTGCATCTAATGATGATGACTTTTATTTCAGTGAAGTACGTTTAGAAAAATGCAAAGATGTTCTAATTTTACAAGAGCTTTTTCCTTTTTTTATCATAAATATAATTGGCACCTACTTTGTTAAAATCCAAATACATTTGTTGTAGTTAGTGCTTTAGAGAGACCAGCCACTAGTTAAAAAAAAACAAAACAAAAAGGGCAGAACTGCACTAACCTAAGAGCATCGTAGAGGAACAATTGCTATTCATTGAAAAAAAAACCTGTTAAAAAGTAGTTCTGCCTACTGACCAGTCTCCATGAAACTGATTTGTGGGGACTATCAAGTCAAAAAGCTTGTCCCTTGCCAGCATGCTGTGCTCTTTGTGTGGAAGTATACAACTGACTGAGATGAACCTATAGTTCTGCAATCAGCAAATATCAAAGCTCTCTATTATTTGGATAGCTCTAGACTGGTGTGTCTACTATTGTTGGGTTGTGAGTATACAGCACTCAGCCTAACCTTTCCTTCTCTCGGCAGCTATGGGTTACTGCTTGGGGTCCTGCAAGTACATGCCCTGCTGTACATAGAATGTTGGCAGGATAATGTTCAGTGAGTCTAGGTTCCTTGTTCTTATTATAGGCAGTGCCATTAGGTACATGGGCAGTGGTGGCGCGGAGAGTTCAGCATACACAGTATTCAGGAGTACTATGCCACCAGAGGCATGTTTTTCAGCAACCGCATAGAGATAGATAGTTCTTTGACAGCTCTTCAATGCTAAGTGACTGAGCTGCCTAAACTAGCAATATGTTACTACTTAGACTATTAAAAGCTCTTTGCTAGTTCTGCTATTGCAAGTAAAGAATGCTGCAAAAGAGTCTTCATTTTGTGGAATGAAAAGCATTATTGTTATTGTACTGTTACAAATAAAGCAATTTGCTCTGTGTTATCAGCATCTGGTCTTTCATAGACCCTTTATCTTACTTACTGTATGATGTAGCCATATCTAGTGCAGATGGAAGGTTGGCATCCTACTAATACTTTTCAATCATAAATGTTCATTTCACAAGAGATGGGATTCTGCAGGGGACTGGAGGGCTATGTGGGGTTCTAACAGTCATCACTGCAGAATGGGTGGCACTCTGTGGAATAGGTTTTCTGGAGGGTGCTTGGGGACTCTGCAGCAAGCAGGGTGGCACT